CATTATGGTTCATAAACTCGTTAATAACTTCGACTCGACCAGATTTGAATAATTATTCATCAAAACAGACGGTGGAATACTACGATTTATGCTCATAGTTATGATATTTGCTCCTCACATTTTTGAAATATCAACATTGCGACGAATTCTGCAGGTTCATTTGACACCAGTCAAATGAATAACTTCCTAAAGTATTTCGCCCTGTACTTCCTGCTGGACTTCACTGAGAACAATGACCTGTGGCATCTGCTCTCGTCTAACAATCGCACATCACAAGACAATCCAGAATTTCTACTTGATCAACAATCTCACTCATTACAATGAGGGAAAAATCACTTGGAAATTTTCGAACTGTTCATTATATTTCGTAAACTTGTTAATATCTACTAGTCAAGGATATCCAAGAATCTTTTACAGTTTGGTGCAGACCACACTATAGATTCAACTATAGATTCATTTTCAATCATCAAATTTGTCAATTAAATTGCGTGCGAAAAATTTGAAAAAACCTCGTAAACATTCAGCGTCATTTAAATTACATTTTGCACCGAATTTTCATCTTTTTAAACATTCGTTATTTATACATAGATAATTGAAATTGTTCAAATATTCGGGAATCTTATTTAGTTACGAATGAAATCGATTTCTGTTGAAAATTCACAATATGAATAAATTTGAAAATTGATTGTTTATAAATTATTCATGTAAAATGCTCGTAATTTTCAAAGATTGAAATTTTTTAAATTATTTCATCAATCTCACAAAAAATAAACTTTTCAATTTTTTTTCCAGATTTTTAAAATGTTTTCTAACGGTTCAATAGTGAGATTCAAATTGAGACCTGCAGAGTTTAAATGATAAAATCATTGGAAAATGTCCGGAAATTTAGGATCAAAGGGGGTTTAAATAAAAGCTCTGATATTCTATTGTAAAAGTAGAAAAACATTTCCCTGGAGAAAAAATAATCTAAGTACTTGGGTATCCTTAGCCATTTTTGAATAATTACTCATCAAAACAAACGTTTCAACACGCCGTTTCATGACCACAATCATCATAATTACGGCTTACACCTTCAAAACCCCAACATTCGATCGAATTTTCACTGATTCCATGATTTAATTGGTCGCCACTCGCATAAATAACACGTTAAAATATTTTTCCCTGTAGTTCTTGTGTGATTTCTCTGAGAACAATGGCCTGTGGCATCTACTCTCCTCACACTCGCACATCACACACACCTCAGTCGCTGACCTTCCCCTTGATAAACAGCCGAATCTCACTCGTCACAATGAACGAAAAATCACTTAGGAATTCTCAAAAATGTACATTTTAACTCACAAACTCATTAATAACTCCTACTCCTCTATTTTTTGATAATTATTCATCACAACAAACGGGTCAACACGACATTTTATGCCCACAATCTTCACATTTACCTCTCACACCTTCAAAACCTGGCCATTCGACCGAATTTTCAATGTTTGTATGACTTAATTGATCACCACTCGCATAAATAACACACTAAAATATTTTTCCCTGTAGTTCTTGTGTGATTTCTCTGAGAACAATGGCCTGTGGCGTCTACTGTCGTCACGCTCGCACATCACAACACACCTCAGTCGCTGACCTTCCCCTTGATAAACAGTCCAATCTCACTCGTCACTCAAAAATGTCCATTGTAACTCACAAACTCGTTAATAACTCCTACTCCTCCATTTTTTGATAATTATTCATCAAAACAAACGGATCAACGCGACATTTTATGCCCACGGTCTTCATATTTACCCCTCACACCCTCAAAACCTCGACATTCGATCGAATTTTCAGTGTTTACATGACTGAATTGATCACCAGTCGCACAACTAATACGTTAAAACATTTCACCCGATAGTTCCTGTGTAATTTCACTGAAAACAACAACCTGCGGCGTCGTCTCTTCTCTAACCTACGCGAGACGTTATGTTGACTCTCTCAAGCAACAACACCGGCACTCGCCACTCAGCGCCCCACACTCACGGCTACCCCCACCCCGCTTCTGTTTTGTTTCTCACTCGTCGCCTGCCTCAACTCCACTCATTTACGAATAAAACATTTTTTCCATCCTGTTGTGATAGTCAACAGGCACATTACGACTCTCCAGTCATTCCCGCCATCTGCTCCAATAACTGTGGATTCGCCTATTATATCGACACTCACCATCCGCAACAATAACACTTCGAACTCATAATAGCGGAATATTTTCCGGCAGGAGGCGATAAGGGTTTCGTTAAATGTAGGGGGCGCATTCGTAGACTGTAGGCGGTGCATGTATTGTCTAGGTGAGGAATAATTGTTTTTTGCATCCAAAAAACAATTTTTCGTGAGAAGGCCCGGTAAACCGCGATTCTAACCTCGCTTCGTTCGGTTAGATCGCGGTTTGCGAGCCTTCTCNCATTCATCACACGGTCCAAAAGTATTTTCTGACGAATGTGATTATAGGCCTCGCCTTCGGCTCGGCCTACAAAGCCACATTCGTCAGAAAATACTTTGTGGACCTTGTGATGAAAAGTTCTATTTTCCTCCCCAAATGACGGGAGGAAAGTGGCTTATTTCACTCCTCGGATTTCTGCTGTTTTTGACGATCCTCGGAATTACATAACCCACGTTCTTCCCTGCGAAATAGTATATTTCGTAACGAGTGCAAAAAAGTGTTTTTTGGCGAGTGGGAGGTTTATATCACGAGCCGAGGCGCCAACAGTGTGATGAAAAATAGTATGTGCAACTGGGAAGTAAAACAAGACATTCAAACCAGTCTGGATTACTGCCCGAGGCGAAGCCGAGCGGGTTGGACTGTGCTGTTTTCCTCCCTCGGTGCACAATCTACTATTTTGACACTGTTACTACGTTCACGTCGTACCAAGAAGTGCCTTTTCGATTACTCATAAAGGAAAAGTTTTCATTGGTACAATACTTGTTCCAAGAAAGAAACATCTCAATAAAATAGTATATTTTGTAACGAGTGCAAAAAAGTGTTTTTTGGCGAGTGGGAGGTTTATATACGAGCTAAAAAACATTTTTTCACGAGTTACGAACAATATTTTTCATCACAATGTGGCGGAAATTGGACTTTTAGGCACGCGGAGCGTGCCGAAAAGTTCACTTTTCGTCACAGCGTGATGAAAATATTTTTTTCTATCGGTGCACAGAACATTTTTTGGTGAAATAGAAAAATTGATCGGCAGATAATCGGCGATACTTGACAGACGATTTACTTAACCAGGCTTGGTGCAGCCGAGCCTCACTGAACTCTGGATCAAAATTAATCGGTAGATTATTATCATTTATTCCTATGCTTGGCTGAGAATTTTTTTAACCGGGCTTGATGCAACCAGGCACCAAGCCCTATGTTTAAATAATAAGTTATAAAGAGTTCGACGAGCATCGCATAAAGATGTAATCATTCACCGAATGTCTTGTCTTCTCCTTATTCTTGTTTCTCAAATTCAATTTTATGAGAAAACTCAAAAAAATCGCCATTATAGGGGGCAAGTCGCGGATTTTATGGCGTAATATACAAGAAGGGGTCCATATTTGGAACGACTTGCGACTGTGACGAGAGCGGTTGGGGTGGGGGAGGGGGTCTAAAAAGTCCAAAGAGCACGAGACGTAATATTTGAATGACCCCTTAGTCAATCGTGGACTAGATTTTTATTTGCGTTTTTTATTCACATCAAGTGGTCTCCCAGACATCCATAAATGTTTCCTCCATTCAAATAAAAATTTTAGTAGATATAAATGAAATCATTCCTCAGATGGTGAAGAGAACGAATTTACTGACCGGTATTAATCATTTATTTGGATCAATAAATATTTTTGAATGAATAATTTATTTCATACCATTAAAACGTTTAAATTGGAACATATTCTTTTATGCATTCATTTATGGCTGGGATGAAAAATTATACAGAGTATATGCGATAAGAGAAGCGGAAAAAATCAAATGAGTAAGAGATATAATTTTTTTAATACCAGTAAAAGCAGAAATTTCATAACAAAGTCGGTAAAACGTGAAGCGCATCACAAAAACAATATTTGAATCAAGACAGTATTTATTTAATTCCGTCGCTCTGAGGGAACAGTGTTTCCATAAACAACAGTAATTTTAATAAAAGTTGTTGTCGACTGTCGTTCATCTCCCTCTTTTCAGGGACTGCAAGGCCGATAAAAAAGTAATTTAATTACAGAACAGAATTGTGGTACATTTCCGATCGTCAAAGCTGAGAAATGCAGGCAGTCTTAAGGATAACCAAGTACTTTTTCTCTAGTGAAATGCTTTTCTACTTTTGTAGTGCACGGAGAGAAATATTGAATAAAAATTACGTATCTTTTCCGTAATTCCGGAGCGAAATGTGGTTGTAGGAAATTTTACGGATAACTGTCACGTAATTTTTACCTAAGGTCACGGAATGTTTCAAGAGCGTTTTGTAATTTTTACCTGAATCTCCTGTGAAAAGGAGACGTGTGAAACGTTTTTCCAATTTTCCTCACGGAATTTAATTGACAAATTTGATAATTCACACTGTAAAAGATACTTGGATATTCTGAACAATTGTCATGAGTTTATCGATTCCGAGCCAAAACAAAAATTAATAGAAATAAATAAAAACAAACAAAAAATATCAGAAATTAATAGAAAAATATCAATTAAAAAGTTTTTTATAATTTTTTTGTTTAAACGCTTGAACAAAGAAAAATTAATAATTAAAAAAATAACAGCTCCACTGACTCCAGTTCCGCAAAACAATTAATTTCCACAAAAACAACAGTAATTACCAATCATCCATTTATTCATCAATGTCAATGGACAAATCTCCCAAGACAATCGTCAAAAAAAATCGGCTCATAATTTCGAATACTCCCGCGTGTGCGCAGTGACAATCCCTCCAGAAGACGAGCGCCCCCCAGCCTGGTGACTTTTGCGGGAAACGTTCCAGTTCCCCCATTCCCCCAGTTCACTCGAGAAAGCCAAGAGAATCCCCTCGGCGCAGTTAAAGCTGAAACACCGCGGTTCTCGTCGCCCCTCTGACAACTCCACCGACTGCAACAAAGACTCCTCAAAACCCCGAGTGCAAGTGTGACGCGAGCATCCCAAGCCCCGCCATTCCGTCCCCCAGCAGTTATTCCGCGAGTGAAACGCCTGCGTTCAGTGATGTGTGTGTTCAGTCTCGCGACTTGAACCTCCCATATACCAAATAAGAATCCCCTTGTCAAGTGGGACAGATTTTTCACGAGATTATACTCATCTCTGACGTAAACTCTGATTATTTAATCACCCAATAACAGTGTAGTTGATAACGAGTGATAAAAAAAACGTTTGTCAAGTGGGATAACGACAGTTCGGGCATTTTGAAATCAATCGAGGAATTCCAACGACGTGAGACGAGGAGACACCAGTGCTGCCCCTACCCAGGTTCAGACATTATATTTGTGGTTATCGAGTTTCTTGAGTTACCTCTCATTTGTCACCCTCTGACTTGTAAAATCCCCAATTTCTCCAACGAATCATTCAATTTCCTGCCTCTCATTGGATTCAATTGAACCAGTTCGTGTCGTTGATCGTTCGACGGCATTTTTTAATTTCAGTGAACGACATTGTAACAACACTACAAACGGAGAATTCGTACGTATGACGACAAGAATGAAGAGGCAGGCTGATTCTGTTCTGCTACTAGGTTTTCTATATTTAGCAAGCACCCTCGCCACGGTCCAGGCTGGTGAGTCCATGTTTTCCTTCAAACGCTACTCCAATTTAATTAACATTTATTTATTTCTCAGATTAATCAGAGAGTCTGACCCCAATTCTCTAATCACCTGCTTTTATTTGACACAAACACTGCTATTTATTTTTTTGCGTGACAACTCACGTCTGAGTCTGAATTCACCTGATCTTTGCGTTATTTTTTTTATTGTTTTATGGGTTTTTCATCTTCATTGAAATGTTGGAAAAACGTGTGGTCATTTGGGGGAGGTTGTAGGGAATTTTCTGACGTTATACTCGGGGTGCGCACGACTGGGGGCAATCAATTGGTTTTTTTTTTCAAGTGCACATGACATCATATCGTTTGGTTTTCCTTGAATTTTCGTTTCCACTCTCAGTGAAACTCGTGCATTTAATTTCGAGATATCAAGAAACAAACAAACTCATGTACCAGCTAGTTGATGTCACGATCTTTATGAATTAGAATGAGTAATTAAATGAAAACACTTGGCAGACGGGAATTTAGTTGATCTAATTGTGTACAAGTGCTGTGGAATTTTTTAAAATTTCAAATCTAATCAGTTGCCTCTCCCGTTGGCCTTCGTTTTTCCTTGCGATCTAAAACCAGCTGGGAGCACGTGCTTCTGGCGCGCGCATACAGCACACATTCAACCCCGCGCCGACACGCTAAACTCGATGATATGCATTTAGAAAACAACAAAGTGAAATTTTACTTAACGATTAATGAGTCGATTTCATCGGATCGTTACTAATGCATTCATTAAATTTTTTTATTCATCTCTCATGATGAGGAAAGGGTGACTCATGTACGGTCATTTGCTGGAGTTCACGTCATTCTTTTCTCGTCTATTGACGCGACTTGTCGTCCTCAAGAAATCTGCGTCATCAGTTAACTGCGGGATAAACAAATTTATTTAATGAGTTTGCGTTTACAAATCAGATTTTTTCGGTGAGTTTCTTATTTGTAGGCTTATCGTATCACCAGAATCGTTAAGGCAATTTATTTTCAACCGTTAAAAATTCTCCTTTGTTACGAACACATTTCGTTATCTAGAATCTCCAGTTTTTACGGTACAACAATACGTGAAATTGAAAATGTCTCCAACTCTTGAACTCTATCCAACTAAATTATCTTTTAAAATTTATTATTTCAAAGACGTTACGAAGGATTTATTTCGCCGATTTAATTCCCCTTCTCTCTATTTATCCTAACAACAGTAACAAGTGAGAGATAATGAGATTGTAAAAATTCTTGTTGAAAAAAGTTCATCACAAGGGACTAGATGAGCCCATCCTCGAGGGACAACCATGGAGAATAACATGTCACGATCCGCCTGGAAATAGGGTTGAATGGAGGAAAAATGACCAAGAAATACCGCAACTCAAGACTGGTGAGATTGCTGTTGATCCACTTAAGAATGGAACATCAGCAATATACAGTAACTCAGCTAAGGAAGAGCACATGGGGACATACCAGTGTGCTCAGGGTGGCAACGCCGTCACCTTGCAGATTAAAAGCGGTTCGTAATAGGCAAAACAATGATTATTTATTGTTTAACGTTGGTTGTGGATGCCAGACAACATATTGTTTAGCCGCAAGCTAGCCTCCTCCATCTAAGATTTTCTCCTGAATTTATTCGTTTATCAAATCGCCTCTCTGCATCGTCTCACTTTTTGCTCATGTCTCATTTTTCTTTCCTTCATTGTTTTTTTTTACCTTCGCCCATGTAATTATTTTAAAACGCTTGCAGTTACTTTTATAATCATCTTTTCGTTGCAATGTAAAAGAAAATAGCCAAAAAGCGTACATAACCAAGTTTCACATCGCATAAAACTTGTTATAGTTTATGTGTTTTATCCAAAAGTTTCGTTTCTTTTCGCCTCTGGCAGCTTCTTTATACTTTACATTTGAGAGTAACGTGTTATATGTATGTATCCGTTGTACCTACTGTCGCTCTATTCGCAACTCGATGCCTCGATATTGTCTCGCTCTTCTGCTCTAGTTTTCTCGATACTTTAATGTTATATAGATCTACATCCTCTTGCTGCATCTGCTCTCTTATTACGCAAACTCATGCCCGCATCTCGCTCGAAGTGGTAAAAAAAATAATAATACGGTGGATGGTACTGCAAATACTTTGGGGCGAACACGAAATAACTTTGAACAGTGCTCGATGTACTCTGCTACTTTTTTTACGCGGTGGAGATATTCTATTATCGGTCACGCGGGAGATAAGATTATTGGGTCGGTTATAATCGCTGGAAGCTATTTATTCAATTGACAAAATTGGAAATTGTAGACTGGTGAAAATTTTAATTTCATTTAAGGGGAAATTCGCCGGGAAATTTTTCATTTATCGTGTCTGTTGTTGTGTCCAAATGCGTCAGCTGACAGCAAAGTGTGATGACTCTTTGTGACACCCTTCAGAATTGAATATTTAATCTCAAAGGAAATGTCTCAAAAGATGAATACTCGGACGTTGAAAATTGAAATCTAATTGATCGAAGATTCATTAATGTTTGCAAATCGTTCTTTTTGTAGCCTATCCTTGCGGTCAATAACACGAACAAAAAATTGACCCTTGTATGCACTCTTTTGATTTTCAAACTCTATCCCCAGGTTTTTAACCAGGTACCGACCAATCGCGTACTAGTGCGTAATTTTTTCTTTAATCCATTGAATGTGATCAAGATTTATAGAAAATGCATTTTTTAATTAATTTAAAGACCGGGAACCCTCTGCAATGAGACTCTATGGGGTGGATTCCGCGAAACTCCCATTAACATTCAGTAATAATGACTCGATATATTTAAGAGAGATATGATATTTGAAATTTCTGCAAGAAAAAATGTCAGAATACATGAATAAATATTCAAGGACATCGGACATCGAGAGATCGATTTCGATTTATTTTTACCAGTACCCGCGCATTTTGGAACTATTGTGCCATCTATAGTTGACTCAAAATTTATATTTTTACCATCTTTGGATATTACGGACTCGAGAATGAAAAAAAAATAGATACTAGTACGCGATTGGTCGGTCTGTCGATTTTCGAGTACTATTATATTTTGAGTGTCAAGAAGATTATTCGTGCCATCGCAAACGCCGAAAGCTATTAATTAAATTGACAATATTGGAAATTGTACAGTTTTGAAAATTTTTTGACATTCAAATTTCCAATGTTGGAAACTTGAATTTATTATAATTAAGATCAAATCATTCCTGACATTTTTTATTCATCTTGCCCATGGTTGTGTCCGTAATGACTCTTTGTGGAATACTCTTCAGAATTGAATATTTAATCCCAAACCAAATCATTGAATTGATTGAAATTTAATTAATGAAAAATCTTTTGATAAAACTATAACTATATCATTTGCAAATCGCGCATTTGCAATAGCACTTGTGACCCTTAAATGCACCCTTTTGATTCTCAAACTCTACCCGTGTGATCTTTACATTTCGCACCGATGTCTTTGAAAAAAATTTAAAATCATGAGTGTGTTCTGAAGAAAATTAATTAAAATTAAAACCGTCTTTCAATGCATATTAACGTATGTTTCTAACATAATAGTGTCCATTAACAATTAACTATCTAACCATCTACAAGAGTCTCGTTGACTCTCCTCGAAAAAATCCAGAAAGATAAATTTTCAAGTGTAGAAAAATTTATATTCAATACGCATCCCTAACGATGTGTTAAAAAAAGATCCAGAAGAAAGGAAAAATCTCACATGCGAGACTCTCCATTTGGATACGCCCCCAGGAGGAGAAATATACTCGGCTCGGTCATATTTTACTCGCAAAATGCAAGGATTAGAAAGATTTATAGCAGATCGAGGAGCATCCTCCCGACTCTGGAGCTCTCTCGTACCTTCTACTTTGGTACAACTGAGCTCTTTTCTCCCTCCTCCTCTCAGCTGTCCTCCATCCTTTCTTTATACACGTGTACGTTAGTCAGGAAGAAAGATAGGTAGTGCCTTGTGAGCGAACTACCGTGACTATTATCTCGTTATCTGGTTTGATATGGTTTCTACCCAAGAAAATTGTCGACATCTTCCCACTCCCAGGAGGATGTATGACACGATGAAATTGTCCGGAATATGTATATAAAGGGACTTCACCTCAATCTTCATTCCTAGTACCTCTTTTTTCCCCCGTAAAACACACATTATCACTCATGATGAGCCTCCCACCACATATTCTCATGTTTCCAGGATTAATCCAATTAGTTATACAACATATGCCACATAAAATCTATCTCCAACAGTGCATTCTCACAGTCCAATTAGTGAATCATACTGTAGCAGTTATTCGTGGTTATTTCCACACTACTCTATTTCAATTCCAAATATTATCAGACTGTTGAATAAACTCGGTAAAAGTAATCCCACCGGCTATATGATCAGCAGAGACCGTTGCATTCTTCAAGAGCCCTCTTCAAAATTACGAAGAAACTTATAATTACAAACTTCATTCGTTTCATTCAAACCATTATACCGTTAAGCAAGTGGAATAAAAATTAAACGAGTAAACTCGAACCAGATCAAAGTTTTCCGTCTTGTAGCCATGGAGTCCAGTTGAATGAAGTGAAAAAAAAGAACATCTTAAGAAATACAAAAAAAAGTTGACAGAAAAAATGGCGACGGTACGAGGAACTGCCATGGAGGGAGCATAAAAGAATAAGAATACACGCAGAAAGCTGAAAATGTTGTGCAGAGGAAAATGGGTCTTTCGCTCTGGCAAAACTGTTTATCCCCGTCGTTCGTTGTGTCGGGAAGCTTTGAAGAAATGAAGGAGGACCCTATGAAAGGGTGGGTGGGGTGGACAAAGAGGATGACAGGGGGTGAGTGGAGATATACTGTAAATTACCGTGGTAAAATTAAATTCTGCGAGGCAAAGTCAGCTTACGGTCTAAACGGTGGGCTTGTGGCGCCGTCGTGTCGCAATAACCAGCGACAAGATACAGTTCTCCACCCTTACGAAAATCCCACTCCATTACAAAAACCATATATAGCGGGGGATTCGGGATGAAAGCCCCCCAAAATGTTGGGCGCGGGTGGAGGGGGAGGAGAAAACAAAAAATACACTGGGACATCGTGTGGCATAAATGAATTTGTGATATTCCATGTTTTGCATCCACTTTCCAATTTGATACAGATTGCGCACAGTCTGCAATTACATCCATGTAATTTCCTTCGTGACCCAGTCAGCTGCCATTATTCGATTAACCAGTATCACGTGAGGCCGAGCGAATGTCCACGAGTTTATACGGTGGTTGAGGGTTTCCTTGTATTTCGCTGGTTGTTTTGATGGCTCATATCCTTTTTATCATTGAGGATAGTGCACATGCGATGGGAGGATGTAGAATTATCGATGTTTTTATCGGTTTTAATTAGTCATTTTTATGGGGGAAGTGGCGAAAGTCAATGTTTGCATTGTTAGATGTTTTTGTACAGTGAGAGAATAGTATGTTACAATGCAAGTGGTAAAAGTCGACGCTCGGCGTGTAATCCCACTCGCCGGGAAGTACATTTTGCTTCTGAATGGAAGCTGTGTCATTGTTCAAATTTAAGTTTTGGGTTTTTTGTGTTATACCGACCCAGTATGATCCACAAAGTCCGAAAATGCCATTTTTAGACCTCGTGTGTGCACGTATGTAACAAAGTTTTTCTCCAATTGTTCGCTAATGAACGGATTGGTGAGCCCTACCGATCACTATTAATTAAGCTTTAATTCATCGATTATTTTTTTAATTTTCGATTTATTTCAAAACTCGGTTGTCCCACGATAACTAAAAAAATTTTTTGAATTGATTGAACGATGGCTTAAAAAATCGTAAATAAAATTTTTCTATCAACATTTTGACGCAAGGGCTGAGGGGAGCGATAGATAGAACTCAGTAGTGAAGCGGTAAACCGGGTTAAGTCGATTTTGACTTTTGGCCATTTTTTGACAAATATCTCGGAATCTAAGAGAGATAGCAAAATTTTGCTCATGACGTTTTTACTAACCCTCAGTTGGTTCTACAAAAAAGGTCATGACAAAAATTGTTCTATCTCTTTTAGATTCCCAGATATTCGTCAAAAATTGGCCAATAGTCAAAATCGACTCAACCCGGTTTACCGCTTCGCTACTGAACTGTAAAAAAGACGATCGCAGTATAGAAAAAAGAGATAATAAAAATAATGATGATGATAACATTAAACTAATTTGAAAGTCTGACGAAATTAGTCAAACAGAAATTTTATTGAATTTAATAATATGAAATAAACAAGGAATTGTACATGAGAGAAGGAAATGACGTGCAAAAAAAACGTTCGGATGCATATTGATAATTTATTTGCAAAAATAACTATATTAAATGCAATACAAGAGCAGTTTTCCACTTGTTTACGTACGTATCGTACATTGAATGTCACTCCTGAGAAAAACGCGGTTCTTTGTGCGCGAAGCGTGCAAAAAGTGTCCTTTTTTCACTTCTATCATAAAAAAAAACATTCTTAAGCAAGTTTA